GGAGTGCACCCGCTGGTGCTGGGCCAGGGTGGAGCTGACGGCGAAGGGTTTCCCGCACTCGGCGCATTTGTAGGGCCGCTCGCCCGTGTGGACCCGCCGGTGCCGCTCCAGGTGGGAGCTGACGCTGAAGCCCTTCCCGCAGTCCCCGCAGGCGTAGGGCCGCTCGCCGGTGTGGACGCGCCGGTGCCGCTCCAGGTGGGAGCTCCAGGAGAAGCCCTTCCCGCAGTCCCCGCACCGGAAGGGTCGCCCGGCAGCGTGGGACTTCTGGTGCCGGGCCAAGGCCGCCGGCTCGCTGAAGCTCTTCTCGCACTGCGGGCAGGGGCTGGTGCCGGATCAGGTTGGACCGCTGGCTGAAGGTCTTCCCGCACTCGGCGCAGTGGAACACTTTGTCGGCCCCCGCGGGAGCCGGCGGCGGCTTCAGGTTTCCGGTCTGGCCTGCGGGTTTCTCTGGGGTTTTCCCCTCCAGGATCTCGAGTTTCCCCTCCGGCCCGGGGCTGGGACTCTCAACCTCCTTTTCCTCCAGGGATGTCCCTGGCTGCTCCTCGTCTTCCTCCTCCTCCTCCTCTTCTTCCTCTTCCTCCTCTTCTTCCTCGCTTCTAGAGGCTTCGCCTGCTGGGAAAGAGAATCCAGGAGGTGAGCCAAGAGAAAGTTGCCACAGGGATGAAAAGATGCTAAACCTAAGGGTGCAGCAGGGATCACCACCCTTTCTTGTGCTGGGAGATCATGTAATGCGGGGGATCCTAGGGAAACACAGTGAGATCAGGGCCCCGTTGTGCCGGGCGCTGCACAGACACAGCAAGAAACAGGCCCGGCCCTGGCTGAGATCCAAAAAACTTGACACAGGAAAATAAATCTTTTAAATCTTTACTATGCTCTAAAGCAGGGGTGTCCAAACTTTTTTCAAAGAGGGCCAGATTTGATGAAGTGAGCATGCGTGAGGGCCGACCATTTTGCCTGACATTCTTTGAACCATTACCCTGCCCCAGCTGAGATCAGGGCCCCGTTGTGCCGGGCGCTGCACAGACACAGCAAGAGACAGACCCTGCCCCAGCTGAGATCAGGCCCTGTCATGCCGGGCGCTGCACAGACACAGCGAGAGACAGTCCCTGCCCCAGCTGAGATCAGGGCCCCGTTGTGCCGGGCACTGCCCAGACACACAGCGAGAGGTGGTTCCATGCCCCCAAAATCTCACAGTCGACATATTTCGTTCTTACATGATTTTCTCCTTCGCTTTCCTCCTGCTCACCTGGGCTGCTGCTTCTTGGGATTTCCCTTTCCTCGGGGGCCTGGAGATCCGGGACCCACGGCTCTTCCCCTCGTTCCATCCAGGACAGCAAGTCAGGCTTTGAAATCGGGAAGCCCGCTGGTTGGAGGGAAAAGAACAAGATTAAGTTCTGATGAGATACTTATCCGGTGGGCAGATTATATTACAGTAGCACAGAAAGGGGGACCCACGGCTCTTCCCCTCGTTCCATCCAGGACAGCAAGTCAGGCTTTGAAATCGGGAAGCCCGCTGGTTGGAGGGAAAAGAACAAGATTAAGTTCTGATGAGATACTTATCCAGTGGGCAGATTATATTACAGTAGCACAGAAAGGGTCCAGCTGGGATCAGGGCCCCATTGTGCCGGGCGCTGCACAGACACAGCGAGAGACAGGCCCTGCCCCAGCTGAGATCAGGGCCCCGTTGTGCCAGGCGCTGCACAGACACAGCGAGAGACAGGCCCTGCCCCAGCTGAGATCAGGGCCCCGTTGTGCCAGGCGCTGCACAGACACAGCGAGAGACAGGCCCTGCCCCAGCTGAGATCAGGGCCCCGTTGTGCCAGGCGCTGCACAGACACAGCGAGAGACAGGCCCTGCCCCAGCTGAGATCAGGGCCCCGTTGTGCCAGGCGCTGCACAGACACAGCGAGAGACAGGCCCTGCCCCAGCTGAGATCAGGGCCCCGTTGTGCCAGGCGCTGCACAGACACAGCGAGAGACAGGCCCTGCCCCAGCTGAGATCAGGGCCCCGTTGTGCCAGGCGCTGCACAGACACAGCGAGAGACAGGCCCTGCCCCAGCTGAGATCAGGGCCCCGTTGTGCCAGGCGCTGCACAGACACAGCGAGAGACAGGCCCTGCCCCAGCTGAGATCAGGGCCCCGTTGTGCCAGGCGCTGCACAGACACAGCGAGAGACATGGATTGACTCCAGTATATGCTCCATGATTCGGCAGGGGAGTAGGTCATCTCCACAACATGCATTTGACACCTTAGGTAGATGGGACTTAAAGATGCAAAGGGAAAATGACACAAACCCATTATCTGTTTCGCAGCTCATTTTTCCAGGCTCTGGATTATCACTGTGGCATTAAAGCCACCGGACTCCCTCTGGGATTTTGGAAATGTATTGGGGTTTTCAATGTATTGGGGTTCAGCCTGAGTGATTCAACTGAGCAAATGCCTTCACTGTGGATCAGCAAATGGTCCAAGCACAAAATCTCATTAGCAGCCAGTAGCAAAGAGCCAACGAGGCAAAGCACAACCAGATACACTTTAACGGGACTTGGGTGGGCAGAGGTTGGCTGGCTGAATAACAAAGGTTTTTTTCCCCCTGCCATTCCAAAAAATTGAAGGGAATAAAACCACTGTTTTGGGTCAAGCCAAAAATGATGTACTGCTTTTTTATTTATTTTTTTTATTTTGGAGCAATCGAAAAGCTGAAAAAAACCCCAATACATTTGGGGTCAAATGCAACAATTTCTTTCCATAGAAACATAAAACACTAGGACCAGAAGGGGCCTCGAGAGGTCATCGAGTCTGGTCCCCTGCCCTCATGGCAGGACCAAGCACCGTCTAGACCAGGGTCAACACATGACCCACGGGCTGCGAGCGGCCCCCAGCTTGTGTGTTTGCAGCCCACGGTGCAGTTTGGGTTACACGGGGCTCAACACGTGGCCCGTGGGTGGGATCCTTTGACCGTGGCCTCCACTGGGCACACACTGCGCAACAGTGAGGCCTCTCCCAGGCGGGGTGAGCAATGAACGACACAAGGGGACGGGCTGGCTGGAACAGACGGGTACAGGGTGTCGGCATTTCTAGCCTCCGGGGAGGAGGTGTGGGGACTGCAGGGGCATTGTGGGAAGTGCTTTGTATTCATGCCCATCAGTGGGAAAGAAACTATTTGCATGTCTGTGCAACCACACTTAAGTTGCAGCCCTCGGTGTGTGCTGTGAGTATCATTGTGGCCCCTGGAGCTTCCAAAGTTGAGTAGCTCTGGTGTAGATCATCACTGATAGATGTCTATCCAACCTGCTCTTAAATATCTCCATTGATGGAAATTCCGTAACCTCCCTAGGCAGTTTATTCTAGTGTTTAACTGCCCTGACAGGAAGTTTTTCCTAATGTCCAATCTAAAACTTGCTTGCTGCAAATTAAGGACATTGCTTCTTGTCCTATCATCAGAGGCCAAGGAGAATTTTTCTCCATGCTCCTCCTATCACCCTTTTAGATACTTCAAAACTGATAGCATGTTCCCTCTTAGTCTTCTCTTTTCAAAACTGAACAAGTCCAATTCTTTCAGTCTTCCCTTTTGGCTCAAGTTTTCTAGACCTTTAATCATTTTTATTGCTCATCTCTGAACCTTCTCCAATTTTCTCACATCTTTCTTGAAATGTGGTGCCCAGAACTGGACACAGTACTCCAACTGAGGCTTAATCAGTGCAGAGTAGAGCCGAAGATTGACTTCTAATGTCTTCCTCACAACATTCCTGTTAATGTATCCCATTTTTGCAACAGTGTCACACTGTTGACTCATATTTAGCTTGTGGTCTGCTATGACCCCTAGATCATTTTCTGCCTTACTCCTTCCCAGACAGTTGCTTCCCATTCTGTATGTGCAAAACTGATTGTTCCTTCCTAAGCGGAGTACTTTGCATTTGCCCTTATTAAACGTCATCCTGTTTACTTCAAACCATTTCTCGTTTGTCCAGATCATTTTGAATTTTGACCCTGTCCTCCACAGCACTTGCAGCCTCTCCCAGTTTGGTATCATCTGCAAACTCAATAATCATACTCTCTATTGGTATGTCTACATTTGCTCCCTAGTTCGAGCTAGGGATGCAAATGTAGGTGACCAAAATTGCTAATGAAGCAGGGATTTAAATATCCCGCACTTCATTAGCATGATGCCCAGAACTGGACACAATATTCCAACTGAGGCCTAACCAGCGCAGAGTAGAGCGGAAGAATGACTTCTCCTGACTTGCTCACCACACTCTTGTTCATGCCTCCCAGAATCGCGTAGGCTTTTTTCGCAACAGCATCCCACTGTTGACTCCTATTTAGCTTGTAGATCCCTTTCAAAAGTCGGATACTCTATTGACTGAGCTAGTCAGGCTTTGACCAAAGGCCAGCTCTTGTGTTTGGATTTTGACTGTCCTGAAACTGTTTTGCTGACTCACTTTGTTTGCTTAAAAAAACAGAAACCTTTGAAACAAAAAGAACTCCCTGAAGTGGAAAGTTGGGAACTGGTTGCAATACTTTGATTTGCCAAATCTCCTTCGGGTTTTAGTTGATCGCAACAGTCGCCGATTCGCAGCACACTTTGGTGTCGCTGGGCTGTGGGGTTTGTCTTAAAACAAAAAGTTCCTCTGAAAAAATGAACCCAGCTCTCCTCGGGGCTTTCAGGCCTCCTTGAGAGTTGGCTCAAACTGGGGACCCCACTTTCCTGAGTTGCTAACCACTTTTGCACACATCCCCTCGCCTCCAACATGCAGGGACTTACCCGACACCAGCTCTCGGCGGTGGGACTCAGCCATGGCGGTGATCCGCGGCATGCTGATGGCCATCTCTTCTGCTAACGAGAAACGGAAGAGACGGCGATTAGACGAACATACGAAGGACCACACTGGGACCCATCTAGCCCAGTGTCCTGTCTGCCAACAGTGGCCAAGGCCAGGTGCCCCAGAGGGAGGGATCACAACAGGTAAACCTCACGTGATCCCAACCCTGTCACCCATTTCCAGACAAACAGAGGCTAGGGCCACCATTCCTACCCATCCTGGCTAATAGTCATTGATAGACCTAACCTCCATGAATGTATCTAGTTCTCTTTTAAACCCTGTTCTAGTCCTAGCCTTCACAACCTCCTCCGGCAAGGAGTTCCACAAGTTGACTGTGCGCTGGGTGACGACGATCTTCCTTTTATTTGTTTTAAACCTGCTGCCCATTAATTTCATTTGGTGGCCCCTGGTTCTTATATTATGGGAACAAATAAACGACTTTTCCTAATTCACTTTCTCCACTCATGATTTTATAGACCTCTATCCTATCCCCGCTTAGTCTCCTCTTTTCCACGCTGAAACAACGGCCTTCCCAGCTAACCTTCCCTTGGCACGAGCAGTGCACATCAAAAGGAGACCAATCCACAAACAGTCTAGGTTCTACTCCAGAACCGATGACTTTCCACTGACCTCCGACCTCTCAGAAAGTGGCTCCCTTCGGCCAGCGCGTCGGAGATCCTTTCCGTCTCTAAGGCTTGAGACGATTCTGTTGATCAGTTCGAAGGAGATGATCCAGGTTCATTTTTAAGCATTTGTCTCTCCTGGGATGTCTAGGGGGCTGAGCTGCAGAAACCCCCCGACTCTCATGTTGCTTCAGACCTATCAGTTCCGCAAAGCGAGGGAGAGTGAATCCTTACCCAGAGAGATCAGCGTTTCATAGTTCTCCTGCATGGCGTCCTTGTGGAGAGCTCTCCGCCAGCCTGCTGCACCCTGGAGAAAGGCGCCGACGCCTCATGGAAAAGCCACCAGCCCCTGAAAGAAAAAAACCCACCCCTGCATTCAGTACCCTGGAAATCAACTGGCTGCTTTAGAATCTGGTGGCAGTTCCTTAAACCAGCAATTCTCCAGTTTCGGGAAGGGTAGGGCACTGTCCCATTTCAAGCACTGTAGGCCTCAGAGTTTCAGGGTCAAGGGCAGGGGGGGCCCGAGCCAGTTTGGCACCCTGGTCCCTGGGCAGGCCATACAAGCGCGAGCCTGCCCCCCCTGGGGTGTGCGGGCCTGCCTCCTGGCGCACGGCGCATGCGCGAGCCCACCCCAAGGGCGTGCAGGCAGGTACACGGCACATGCGCTGCCCAGCCACCGCCGCTGGCGCGCAGCCCGGGCGGGCCGTGCCTGGCTGTGCAGGGCCCTGCAACTGTGGGGAGAAGAGCACCGTGGGGGTTAACACGGCCCCCGCCCCGGGCGGCCACTGCAGCTCGCCGGGAGCTGGGCACATGGCACCTGATGGCAGCTATAAGGGGCGCCGTGCACCCCTTACAGATGCCATCAGGCACCCCCCATCAGTTGGTGCCCCGGCTCACCCACCCCTTAGTCGGCCCTGGTCATGGGTAGTGTTGCCAGATAGTTTCATAAAAAATACCAAACATGGTGGGGAAAAAATTGGTTGAGCAAAAAACAAAACAAAACCAACTGCACAAAAAACCACCCCAATCACACACACACGAAAAGACTCAAGGTGCCTTTAAATCCCCAGTCATGGCATGGGAAGAATGTCCCAAACAACCTTCCATCCGAGAAAAACAGACTTTTTTTTTATCGGGCAGAAGCCGCAAATACCGGTCACCTGGCAACCCTAGTCAAGGGAAATCCTCGGATTCCAAAATCAGCTTTCCTCACAGAGAAAGCTGCCAAATTTCCCATGAAGTGAAACCAAAACCAAAAATCTCCCCATTTCGGGGCAATCAAAATGTTCCATCTCCAGAAGACTGCATTGTTCCGGTTTGATTTGTGCGGTTATAAAAGGTACACTCTGTTTCACAGAGCAGAAAACAAGATGAACTTTGGGAAAAGAAAAACAGGCATTTCAAAATGAAACTTTGCAGAAATCGATGCGTTTCCATCAGAACATTTTGATGTAAAAAAAAAAAGGCATTTTCCCGTGGGAAAAAAGTGTTCTCTCAGAAAGCTTTTTGAACTACAGGCAGTCCTTGGATTTACAACATAATTGGTTCTTGAAAATTGTGTCAAAATGTTGTAACATGGAATCAGTGTTCCTGCTAATATTTTCCACACGTGTGTGGAATAATGTTACGTGCACCACAGCATGTGCGGATGTGCACCACCACTAGAAACACAAACCTAGCTGTGAGCACTCTGCTAATCAGCTGGGCTGCGTTACAATCTCTCCTGAGTGGCTGCACAAGCTCCCAGCTTGCAGGGGACACGGATGGGAACTGCAACCCACTGTGTTGTGGGACGGTACGTCGTAAAGTCGACACCAACATCATAAGTTGAATGAGGGGGTCAATTCAGAAATGTCGTAAGTGCCGTTCATTGCAAATCAAATGTCAGCAAGCTGAGGACCGCCTGTACTCTGTTCCCATTGAGGGATGTGAAAGGTGAACTAGTTACCTGGGAACCATTAGGCTTACCAGAATATTCACCGGGTGACTGGTTAACCAGTGGTGGGCAACTGGAGACCTGAAGGCCACATGCAGAACCGCTGGGTTCTATCTGTGGCCCACGCGACATTTTGTTTATCGTTCCTCGGGCACTGGGTTGCCAGATCCCGCTGGCTTCGGTCCGTGTCGTTTTTCTGCCTACCGACCTCACTCACGTGACACGCACATAAAGCCACGTGAAGGGAGGGGCATGCCGCGTCCGTCCAATCAAAGGGTTGCGACGGTTCCATCGACACAGCCTGCAAATTCCGGGCACGCAGCAATCAAAGGGTTGCGACGGTTCCATCGACACAGCCTGCAAATTCCGGGCACGCAGGCACGGCTCTGAAAACGGCCCCGTGCAGGGGGACCGTCTTGGTGGCGACCAGCTTGTGGCCCCATGGAGACAAAGGAGGCCCACGTGTGCGCCCCGCTCACTCGCCTCGGTCGCCCACCGCCGGGTTCACCGGGCCTGGTCCAAACCCCCGTGGATGGCCAGCCACAGAGGGCAGGATCCCAGAAGCAGCCCTATAGCTCCTGGCAGGTGGGTCTTTGCCCCATAGAGGCAGCAGAATGACAGCCCCGGCGGGACCCCTACCCCGACTGCTCTGTGCCTGCCTGCCCATGGGGAAGCCGTTAAATGGGATCGTTTTAG